GTGAGTGCAAAATTCTGTTGTATGGTGCTGTAAAAACGGGCAGGATTAAACAAGATGATTAGACATTCAAAGAAGCGAACGATTAGTCCATATTTTAAATATCTAAACAGAGAGGTCATGTTTTGATCTTCGATTGGTCTCATGCAACCATGTAATGCGATTTTGCAGGTCAAAGTTCACCAAGCTTGAACTTTCTGAAACTTGCCGCACGACCTTGTGTTTCCAGTCTGACTCATTCATGTGCATATGAATGGAAGTCTATGGGGAGAAAAGTGAAGTGTGAACGCAGGCTGTGTAATATGCTGCAGCTGTTTTAGTGTAATCAGTTTTGAAATTGGTAAACTGTTTCAACTGCAAAGCATGATGGTATGTGTAGTCCCAGTGAATGGCTGATAGAGTGTTCATCTTCTGGAGTGCCTTCTGGTCAATCTGGTTGGTACTCCAGCTAATCGCATTTCTTATGATGACTTTACTAGAAGAATAGAAGATTACAAGAAGAAGACTAGAATCCTGAGAAGAATTTCTTTTTGTTTTATCATTTACAAATCTATGTTACCAAACAATTTGAGATGGATCTGGATGCAGACCTGGTGCAGTGCAATCTGAGCTGTATCCAATGCTTTTTAATACGCTCACTGAACCCCACAAGGTTTTTAAGGTAAATGTGCAAACAATTTTATGGGCTGAATTTAAATTAGGTTAAGCATAACTAAATTTAGTTTGTTTGTATAAATTCAGCCAATATAAATGGTTTGCTACAACTTAATTACTCCCAGGGCTATTTATATTAAAGTTGATATTTAGCCGCACCATGTAATGTTTTGTTACATCTAATTTTTACGAGGTGGGTCGTTGGCCTGATGCTCAACCCTCAGACTGAAGAACTAGGACATACACACATACTGCAAACTACAGACAATTTAGCCTACTCAAGTCACCTGTATAGCATGTCTTTGAACTTGTGGGGGAAACCGGAGCAACCAGAAACCCATGCGAACGTGAGGAGAACATGCAAACTCCACACAGAAGTGCCAACTGACCCAGCTGGGCTCGAACCAGCAACCTTCTAGCTGTGAGGTGACAGCGTTACCCACTGTGCTTAATTTATATGACTATTTTTATCATGAAATTTGTAACAGACTACAATTTGTAAATAATATACCCCACATTGTTCTGAAGTCCTAAAAGTTTGAGCATAGCTTTTCAAAATTCTCAGTCAGTTTAAAAACTTCAAGTCAGGACACTGTCGAGTTCTTCTGCTACTATGTTATAATGAATTCATCTCTTGGCTTGTAAAACTGTGGCGTTGTGTTGCTTTGAGAGGATGTTTTCAGATTACTGATGTAAAGTACTGTTCTGAAGGTTATGAGCATAAGGACAGTTGCTAGGTGACGAAATTGTTCTCAGCTAGTTTGAAAAGAGAACACGTCATAAATATGTCAGAGCCTTGTTTCTGTCATATGATCTATCAGTCAATCTTCTGCTCTCAATGAGATGTTGTTCATTCACCAGCAGAGAGTCATTAAGTGCACAAGATCGTGACAACAGCTGTAATATTACTCAGTCACTGCCCGCATGCAAAGATAGTCTGTGATAAGTGGTTTCTGTGAAGATGTTCTTGGGGAAAGTGCCAAGAAGTAAATGTCAGCCGGTAAAGGTGATTGATATCAGTCGTGACAATGTCACCGTGTCAGCGGCATTGGCAATGAATTGCGTTGAGGAGTCTGTTTTAATGAGCACCCGGGTGTTTACTGCTTATGCTGCTCTTATCTTCTTGGTCTTGCTGACTGTTTGTGCTAACACACCTTCTAAGGAAGTTTTTATTTTTACCTTTTTTCTCAGTTGGCCCAACTTTTTCTACAATTTTATATGAAGAAGGTTCACAATTGGGCCTGGATTCCCCCAGGACCATGATATTAGAATGTTAAACTCAGAAGTGTTATACTAGCTCTTTTTTTCTGTTTATTTCTTGTAATTCTTACATTCCTGATTTGCAAAACTATACATAATGTCCAATTTAAAGCCTTAATTTGTTTTTAAGCATTAAAGTCTGCTTGATATTAAAATGAACAATGTTTACTTTGCTAGTTCACATTGTTGAATTAGCACATTGAAAAATTAGTACATGCAAGTACATTTTACTGAAAAAAATTGTTTGTTTTGGTAATTTTCTATGAAAGTCTGCTCGTTTGCTTGCACATTTTGAGTTGAAGTCCTACTGTTGATGGCAGCCTGAGGGCTCCCTTAACAAATACATATTTAAATCCTCTCTTACCATTATGTTTGCTATGAGGGAATGGTGCGCAAAACAAAGCCCCGCCCCTACTCTATATTTGGCTTCAGTTAAAAGTATATCAACATTGTAAAATAAAAGTCTTAGCAACTTCTGGTTCAAGCAGACTTTATAGTGTCACACTAATTCAGGGAAAAGAAAACAACAAGACGAATCTAATTGTAAGTGTTTAATGACCAATGGTCATAAATCAAAAGGGTGCAAAAAGAGTCCAAAACAAAATAACTATAATAAGTGTAGTAGCAGGTTGTGAATAATGTTCCAGATACACGGCAGCAAAGCGTCCAACGAGAGTCCTGACAAAGCACAGACAGACCATGAACAACAAATAATGTACTGATAACCAAGTAAAGCACTGCCGCTCATATAGACGCAACTGAATAAGGCACAGCTGAGCTGCTGATCAGAACAGCTGATCGACATACGTAATCACCCACTTGATCACAACACACGCAACACAACCACGCGGAGTAAACCAAAACACAACCAAGTGACAACAACAAACACCACAGAAACAGTTCACGCATCTGCAACCGTGATATAAAGGTTCAAGACACCCTCGAGTATTTTGTAAAAAAAATTACAGATTTGTGTGTGTTAAGCATCAGTTCCGACAACATTAGCACCCGATAGCTTTAATTGCGGTGAAAACTGAATAATATTGAGATTTTGTCAGCTAATTTTATCTTCCGTGATTAAAATAATTTTTGGGGCGGGATCAAAATCGGTGACAGAGCGCGAATATGCTATGGAGTGATGACGCCTCGGTTTCTCATTATTATTCCTAGCAGAGTTTTCTTATCCCATTAGAAGACCTTGCTTCTTAATTATTCATAAGACCATGTGCTTTCAGAAGGCAAAGCAGACCTGACAAGCTGTGAACCTCAATGACTGTGTGAGACTTCATCAAAAAACGGCACAGGTCGTATGTGTTTGTTTCCATTATTCACAGTTTTTGTTGCTTGTTTTTCCCTGCAATTCTGTCAGGGCCGATACAGCAAAGCTGTTGGTTTGCAGCAAGCTTTTTTGTCAAGAAATTTGTATGAGAAATGGAGAATGGCAGACTTTGTCTTTTATAAGTTGAGTTTGTTACTATTCAGACACATCCCCTATCCATGCTGTTGTGTTCACCATATGTTTAAAATCCTCCAGATGACCAGCAGGGCTAATGGTTGAAAAAGACAGGTCAAGAGACCTGCTGCACTGCTATCTACTGTGTCTGCATTCAGACTCAGAGACTAAGTAGAAAATAAGTCCTCCTCATTTATAGTGTTCATATAAACACGATTGTCTTTATCATGATATAACAAATTTTAGTTCTGTGTTTATGAAATTATGAAAAACAAATATAGCAGGACATTAAATTACTGTTTTTTTTTTTATTAATTTTGTAAACTATAAAATCATGGGTCTTGTCACTGTTTTCGTCTCATTTTGTGAGCCAACTGACAACAGTTGTTCGCTCCCCTCTTTTTCCCCTGCTCTGCCAGCTACGCCCACTATTCCCTAAAAAGGGGTTTCATGGCCCTTTGAAAAAAACATAAAATTGTTTCAATAAATGAATCCGTAAATTACAATAAAGCACAGTTTACAGTTTTCTTGCTAGTCTATTGCTGGCTGTTGCTGGAAAAATGGGCCTGTCATATCTAAGACTTATATATTTTTTTTCCTATAGATTTCCTATAGACTTAACAACTCAGTTTGTGTAAATGGTAAGAGCATGGGATGATATGTTTAATTGTGTGGGTATTTATCATATAGAACAATTATCACAGCAAGAAATAAGAGATTTGTTTAGCACAAAATATAATTGAAATCACCGAAAATGGTAATAGACAACAGTTTTACTGTATTAAACAAGAAAGTGACAATATCAGTGTGCCAAATCCCAAATGTGCAATAAAGCCATAATTACACAACACTATTATGTTATTATTATGTTCAGCTCAGTGTTGAATCATTTCAGTTCAATCATTATAAAACAAGTTAAAGTTTCAAATTCTACAAGTTTAGTGCCATTAAAATGTTATTACTCAATTTTATGTGCTTTTAAGGGTGTTTTCATACTTTTTTTGTATGGTTTGTACGGTTCATTTTTATGCTTCCATCCAAACAATGATGCGCAACAAACAATTATTTATTCATTCATTTTCCTTCGACTTGGTTCCTTATTTATCAGGGGTAGCCATAGCAGAATGAACTGCCAACTATTCTGGCATATGTTTTATGCAGCAGATGTCCTTTCAGCTGCAACCCAGTACTGGGAAACATCCAAATTGGATGAACTATATTGGCTGTATGTGAATATTGGCTGTATAGTTCATCCAATTCACTTATACCTGCTGTCTTTGGGTTGTGGGGGAAACCGGAGCACCTGGAGGAAACCAATGCAAACACCAATGCAAACACAAGAAGAACATGTAAACGCCCACATAATTGACAAAAATATGCCATATAATTGACAAAAAAGACAGAATATTAACGCATACCAGGACTAAATGTATCATTTTCTTATTTGGTCTGGACCAGCAGAACCAAAAGATTCGAACTTCAAGTTTTTAGGTGAGAGAAAAGGAGAAAAAAGGAGATGTCAGCTTTGCTAGCAATTAAAAATGATTGACTTTATATGCATGGATATTTAATATTACTCTACAATATTACTATTCTTTATTATATGAAAACATGAATGTGTGTCTGTATTGTCCAGGTCCCTCAGGATGAATGGGGAGGGAGAGATGAGGAGATCCCATGCAGAAGGATGCGGAGCAGCAGCTACGTTAAAGCCATGGGTGATCAAGATAGTGGAGACTCTGATGGCAGCCCCAAAAACTCCCCACAGAAAATGGTGCGACCCAACGCGCTCGTCAAATCTGTGCTGCAGAGACAACTTTCAGACCAGAGGTAAGAACTTTCATCATCCGGTGAATCTCATTAGAAGGCCTATCCAATCTGAGGTTAGAGTGATTAATGTTCAAAGTTATAAAGCAGAAAACAGGCGTGCAATCATTAACTAGTTATCCACGATCCCAGAGGCCCACATTCTGCGACATGTGAGATCCTTTTTTGTGGAATATGCAAATGTACTTTATGAGCCATCATGAAACATCTGCAGTCGGATCACAGATTGTGCATTATAGACTCTCTTGGTATGAAAGTGAAATGCCCAGCTTTACCGCTTGAAACTGACGTTTAGGAGTGCCAGTAAATTTGAGTGAAAAATGCAAGCGATTAAGTTGACAAACACACATATAATCATAGAGACGATCTGCTGGAAGGGATTCAGTACACATTGACACCTGCTGCATCTGTACTTACCATGCCTCTGTCTTCATATCAAAAACGAAGGCTGATATATAAAGCTGCTGTGATTCAGACATCTCTGACTAAGATTGGAGCTTTCAATTATCTCCTGGTAATGTTAGGCACTAAATTTTGAACGCTGATGAATACTACTAATCGTTTTCACTCATGAGACTCTAGATGGCGCAGATTGATCGGCTTTTGCATGAAGTCTGAAATCTCATCATTACTGCTTGGCAAGCTGATTGGATTCTGATGATTCTGCAGCAGTTGAGCTGGCTTGCTCAACATTTAAATAGTCTTGTTCAGTGTTCACTGTAAGCTGGTTACTGTTAGAGTATCTCTGAAACCTTTGAAGCTAGATTAGTCTTGACTCATGCATAAAACACAATGTAGTCAAATTTACATGCATTAAAAAAAAATTTCATTAAACAATTCACGTGTACAAAATAATAATTTAATTAAATATGTTTCACAAATGCAAAAGACAATTAACAAATGTATAAAAGTGCACACAAGTTTTGATTGTTTAAATTTTAACAGTTCATCATGATTGGAATGTGCAAATCGTCTTTCACGTATGAATCACACTGGAATTACGTGTGTATTTTTTAGACTTTTCTTGCAGCATTCATAGCCTTTAGCCAATCAGATGCCAGCTCACTGTTCAACCAGTCATAATCTGCCTAATGGAATTCTGAATCTTTGTATACACAGACCAGTAGGAATAGTTAAGTTACACAAGCATACTGTTCTTTTATTTATGGACAAATATTAAAGGTGGGTTTGGGTGCTTTTACACTAGCACTTTTGGTCCCTGGATTTGTTTGACATCAGAGTTCGATATGTTTAGCCTAAGACTTTAGAATACACAAGACGTGTCACTTGTATAGTTTTGAATGGGGAAAAGTGTAATATGGCAAATTAAGCCCTGCCTACTAATACAGGAGCTGATCATAGATCGCTATGGACTGGTCATTTGTCTGGGGAAAATGCTCTGACCAAACGTGTGCTTTTTCCGACAGTTTCTGTGGTCATCAAATGCACCAGAATCTCAATGAATACTTGCTTCACAGAAATAAGAAATATATTCACATAAAGCTTGAAATCTGTACTTTTACATGAACGTAGTGCACTTGAAAACTAAACTTTTTTTGTTTTGTAATCTGTATTAAATGGCCGCGAGGTACAGTCCGTCCTATCAAATGCATATCACATGACAGCAACTACACGAATGCTCACAAACTTGTAAACAAAGAGTTGCTGTCATTTCTGGAGGAGATTCACCATCAAGATTAAGTTTTGAATTACTTAAGAAGAGCAGAGCGATCTGATGGAGCATTATCCTGATGATAATAATGTGTACAATGGCCATAAATGAGGTTGGTGTCGTGATCTCGTTCTTTTCTAGTCCATTAGCTTATAAGCAACTTAATAATATGCCAATTTTGTTTGTTTTGAAATGGTTTAGAAACAAAAGTTATGAGACAAATGTTGTTTAATTTTATTAGTAATTCCAAATATGTAATGTAATCGTAAGCTTGGCAAACAGTTTTGGAGAATTTGATGTTTGCCCTTTTAGACAGAATGCCCGAGCAAACTCTCCGAGAGGCGTTTCAAAGATGTTCGCCCAGTGAAACTTAAAAGGACTTTGCTAGACGTTTAGCTAGTGTGAACCGCACCTGAGTCCGCCTTAAAGAGGTGGTCTGGGGTACAATTCACGCAAACTCTCGTCTGGTACAATTCTGATTTGAATGCTATTGTACCAAAAAACAGATGTGAACCGCCAACTGAACAACAAACTTTAGTTTTCATAACACTCATTCATGTGTGTATGTCTGTGTATCACCTATCTTGGTAATAAGCGAGACTGAGCCAGTGCAAACACAGTGATAATGTCTGCTTGTCTCCCCCAAAAACGACTTCTGCGGACATTACGTTATGTTCTGAATGTTTTTAATATTTTTGCGGCAGATAGACAAAAGTGACTTTCTGTATGTTACTAGTTCAGTTCAATTCAATTCATGTTTATTTCTACTTCGCTTTTACAATGTAGGTGCGAAAGTGTCATTCAAGTTTTCAGGGTTGAAGCTAAGTTTAGTTCAGTTCAGTGTGGTTTATATTTCACTGCTGGAAGTTTAAACACTGAAGAGCAAATCAAAACCAAAAGGTTTAGTAAAGCAGAACGACCGTGATGTGCATACGTCTTTCCATTTTGAGGCTTTGGTTTTCATGGCCATCCGCTAGCTACAGCTTTACACACAACAGCAGGTCGATGATGCAAGCATATCAGGTTTCAGTAGAAAAAAAGGCAATGTGAACACAAATCAGCCGAGAAGGTCACAAGGGGTGACAATCAAACTTGCGTTCAGACTATGCAATCGAACCAAATGTGAAAGCACGCTAAATTAAATGTGTATAATCCACATAAGGTTTGAACAGTATAGTGAAAAGTCTACCATTATACCTTCTAAGTTACAATTTTTCTTGTAGTAACTTGGCATAGTGCCTAACTGAAGTTTTCATATTTTGAAACTGGCTAAAATCTTGATCATCTTCAACGAACTAATGTTGTTTACTTAGTTCCTCACACAGACTTCAAACACACATAAAAGTGAAACTTTTGCAATGTTTTATCTAAGTATTTGTAAACATTCCAGCTAGCGTTCCATCCCCAGCCAGCATTGAATTGTGGGATATTCCTGTTAACACTGCGCCCGCTCTCGCTCTCTCACACAATACCACCTGGAGCTTTTGTTCTCCACCAGACGTGAGGATTATTTTCTGCTCTGTATTACAGGCCTGTACGCCATTATGCAAAGCTCTGAAACATGATGTTATAAATTTGGCAAGACTGCCTCTCTCAAAGTGCGTCTAATGAAAGAGAGTGTAGCACATCAAATGAGCTCTTCCCCTGAGTAGGTGCATGGAACACTGCATTGACTGCGTATTATGAAAAAGTATATTTATACAGTATTAAGATTGTAAGGCGGTAGGGATTCCACTGAAAGGTGCGTCCCATTAAATCTAGCTTCTGTGTAAGTTAGCATCACGTTCAGGTAATTAGCACTTGCGGGTATTGAGAAGTTCACAGCCTGTTTAAGAAAAGTAGACCTTGTTCGTACTCTAGAGAGCTATTTTAGTTGCTGCTGTCACTTCGAGAAATGAAGAGACATCATTGAATACCTTTAGGGGTTTAATATGTAACCACATCAGAAAAAGTGCCGAGCACATGACTGTGATTTGGTATTGCTTTATTTTGATAGTCACTTTAACACATTTTGTTGACTATAATTTAAGTCACAACTACATGGCAACTAATTATCATTAGAATATGAGAACTGTAGACTGTAAGGTTAGGGTTAAAATTTGCTTGCAACTTTTTTATAGTCAGGAGAAGGTCGGTTGATGGAGCAGCATCAGTCTATTAATACTCTAGTGTGAAATAGTTTGCATGTTGTTGTAATGGAACTTAAAGTTTATTCATTGTGCAATATGGACCATCAAAATGAATAGATAGCATTGAATCTTGTTAAAATGTACAGTAATCTTCAGAATAATGTTTATGTGTGAAGCTTTGCCCCATACGAAGAAGGTAAATGACCTAAATGGCCTGTTAAACAACATTTGTACACCATGGCAGGGCAAGGAAACTTTATTTATAGAGCACAATTTTACACAACTATAGTTGGTAATCAAAAATGCTTTGCAATAAAATAAAATATTTATTGAATGAAAAAATAAAACTTTTATTAAAAGTATAAGAAAGGGAAAAATATATATGTAATATCCATGGCTTGACATAAACACCTGCCAACCCACTAAATGCGAGTAGATTTCAGCTGTGGCAGGTTAAACAGCTGCTCCAACTAGCCACTTTAGCTGGTTGAAAATAATTTTTACGTTGCCAGAGCTGTCTCTTCCCTAAAGATTAGAATTTTAGTTTAAGACTGTTTGTCAATATGGGCGCAAATGTGATCTTAGAATCGAGAAGCAGCACGATTGATAAGTTTTCACGTAAGCAAAAGAAAGCAGGTGAAGCAAGCAAGGCACAGGTGATGTGAAGCACGCAAGTGCTTAAAAGCTCTCGCTTCTTTGCGCAAAACAACTGTGCCTGGAAACTCAACTGGTGCGATCGTTTCTCTTTGAAAGAGATTGGGAAAAAAGCGGTGCTCCTACACCCATAGTCCTGCTATGTTAAACAGAGCTCCAGATTTTTTGTATGCGGCAGCTGTTGCCGCTTTCGCTTTAACCATTCTTTGAACAGATTATTAATGGGCCTAACGTTAAGCGTGTGCACGTAATCATCTTTTCATTATCGCACATACAATGTTTTTCACCTGCTTTCTTTTGCTTGCAGTTACTTTTGTTAATGCAGTTCAATTATCATCCTTTACAATAACATTGCTTTAATAGGAGATTACCTCTCAGTGTATCTATAGTTATCTGATGATCTTGGACCTTTAGCCTGGACAAGCTACTGTGTATTTTTAGTTTTTTAAAAGTCAATTGTTTTTAAGAACATTTTTGTTGATTAAAATAAGTCTTTGTTGAGACAGTGCTGACTGAAGTAAACCAATGTACAAAGTGTAACAGTAGTC